TTCACTGACACCATAAACTGCCTGTTGTCAGTGTCTTCACAAGTTACTCTTTCAAGTGACTCAGATACTATTGAAGAGTTTCTGATGGACCTTAAAGATATAAAGTTTACTTATAATGCTAACAGGAATGTGATTACTAAGGTCACATCTGCTTGCATTGGTGATGTAATTGCACAAACAACTCTTTAGCGGCATAAAGGCTGTTAAAAGTAATATCTTTAAAAACTGATCCACAGACATCAATTGAGTTGTGTGCTATTTTAGTATCAATCATAGAAACAAACTTCAATATGCTTAGATTTCATGATCAATTTGCAAAAGATAAGAATTGAGTGACATAAAAGACATTGCAACTTTTTATAGTTAATGGCAACAATGTTACAGTTTGTTTAAAATTGTTTTGTTTCAATTGTTTCAATTTTATATAATGGCCAAGTCACACTAGAGAACAAAACTGCTTCCTTATGTTAAAAATTCATCATCACAATGAAAAACCAAGTGTGACTGGTTTGTTTCCCAAAGGACAAAATTTGGTCGCAGACGGACAAACTTCAAAGATGCCGTCGACTACCTCTGGAGCAGGCCAAATTGAGACAAATCTTGGAAAACAAAAGCGAGGGTGTTTTGATTTGGAAATGATTTGACAGGTGATATGTAGCAGAGTCTCTATGCGATAGACTTCGCAGTAAAATTAATCACTTTCTCATTTTGCAACAACATGAATCCTGGCGCGGGCGACCAATTTTTCCTGTACAAATTTCCACAATATCCACCAGGATGGATCTATCCTTTGCCAGGCCCTTACATGTTTAATGATTGCAGGTTTTGTTCTCAAGTGCAACTGTAGCTTTCTGGACAAATATTTTGTCACTGGCCGATTTCAAGTTGGATTTGTCCAGAAAAAGTCTGAAATTGCCCTCCAGTGCAACTTGGCCCTTAGATTTTAGTAGCATGAAGGCTGTTACAAGTCATATTTTTAAAACCTGATCCACTGACATCAATTAAGTTGTATGCTATTTTAGTATCGATCATAGAAACAATGTTTAAATTAAATATGTTTAGATTAGATGATCAATTTGCAAAAGAGAAAAATTGAGTGACATAAAAGACATTGCAACTTTTGTTTTTGTAGTTAATAGCAACAATGTTACAGTTTGTTTAAAATTGTTTTGTTTAAATTGTTTAAATATTATTACAAGGTTTTTGTTTTAATAAGTTTTGGAAATGTTACAAATGTTACTGTTTAACACATTTGACTACAAAAATTGAAAGCACAGAAAGTGTGTTTCCAAATTTATATTCATTAACTGTATGAAATCTATTTTAGCTCCTATAGAAAGCCTATTTTATTGGCACAAAATTCCTATATTTTGAACTTGAACAGCCCATTTTCCTGAGATTTTCCAAAAATTGGCTGGGAGACCTGTTAGTTTACCCATAAGAAACAATACTATCTTGTGAACCTTGCACAAGTAAGAAGTATTTCTCATATGACAGGTTTAGCAACATTTAACAAAACATAGTTTACAAAACGCATGTGCTTCAAATAACTTACCGTTATATTCTTGAAGGTTAACTACAAACTCTGAGGACATTCTAAGAGGGAATTCATTTTCTTGGTAAGCTGTTATAATATGAATAAAATGAAACTTTCACTGTTCAAGAAAAGTTCTATAAAAATCTATAGTATTTACTCTTCATTACTTATACTGTAATACAATTTATAACAAGTAAACATTACATACCATACAAAAATGGTAAGGAACAACACCCTTCCTAAATTTAAAAGGTACGTTAATATGAAAAGAAATATGGGTAATGTTCAAATTGCGCAAGTTTCCATTTGCTCGTTGGCACTGTACCGGTAGGTATGACTAGTTATTATTATTATATTATGCTGGCATTATCATATTATTTTTAGGGTAAGTCCATTTTAGGATAGTCCATTTGGGTAGTCCATGGACTGGGGGTCAGTGTTTTGTCCATCGCCACGTACACGTCCGAAGTGTGTGAAAAACTCGCGGATGACAAACGCAAACCGCCTCCGAATGGAATGTCAATAAAGGTTTATAAACCTGGAAGTTTTTACTTTTCATGAAAGGTTGCACTTGCATCATGAATATGGACTGCCTGAGTGAGATGTTATTTGATACTTACACGAGTTGCTGAAAATTCCCTCCGTCCAACTACTCGTTCCCGTCGGTCCGAAGTCAACGAAGTGAACCGTCGCTCACCGTTGCCCAATCTTGCTGCTGTTCAACACCTGAGATGTGTGCGCGCGCATGCACCAACTGTTTTCGTCCTCTCCTTTCCAGACCACGTGGGCAAACACGTGCACATACATGTAAGCAGCATGTTGACGTTTTCCTTCGGATTTCTGGTATACATAGCGTCGCTGTAATATGAAAAAACAAAAGATAGTGTATAAGCAGGAGTTGTTACTAAGCGAAAATACCGAACTGGAACTGAAACGTAAGTAATACTAATTTATACAAGTACGTAGTAATCAAAGATGATGATGGCGTTCAACCCCGTCACTTCATATATATAGAAGCTTATATGAGCTTACCTTAAATGATTTCACTAGCTGACTTTCAACCTCTGTTTATTGCCAAAATCAAGATTTTTCATCAACAACCGAGGTTTTACAGACAGATATATCATAGTGTCAAAGTTCCATGTCAGTAAATAGGGTCCCCTGTATAAAGACAATAAAGATACGATTTGTTGATACCTTGCGTGACGGCGCCAGTGTTCCGTAGACTCACAAAAATAGTGAAGCTTACATTAGCTTTCAAATTTCGTGCTAAATATTTTTTACATGAACTGGTAATGGTTAAGCGTAAAGGCTAATTTGTTAAAGTATATTTTTTACGTACATTGCTCTAAGCCAATTTAAGCTTTAAGGCAGTTTCCCTTTTTGAAAAAGGGAAAAATGCTTAGTTGTCGACAACTAATAGTTATCGAGAACTACGTTTTTGACTGATTTTCCCGTGTGTGGGAATGATTGGTTTAGGTGTCAGCAACTATCGTACATATAACTATGCCTGCCATTTTTGAAGTGTACTGTGTTATGAGCATGCATGGTGAACGTTACTTCCTAAGTTCTTGCTGGTCTGACTTAGTTACCGACAACCAGCACTCCAATGTGTGGAACACTGGCATCGGGCAGAAGAAGTTGTAGATAGCTTTTAGTCGTCAATAACAAATAGTTGTCGACAACTAAATAACAAGTCTGGAGGCCCTGAAGTGAGGAAAATATGGTACATTCATTTGCAGCTCGGTGCTATAAAGTAATGCATTTTTGTGTTTTTTTAGAAGACAGGAAATATTACAGTGAATTTTTCGGATTTGAACCATGCATCTACATTTTCAGTGAAAATAGTTCGGACCCTTTTAGAAACACTGAGTGCATCTAGCCAGTGAGATTCTTTAGAAAAATATAATTCAATTTTTAATCGACTTTCTTCTCGGCATCATTGTTGTGGTTGCTTAAGCTCCCTAATATTCAATACTTGAACACTATTTGAGTTTGCTGTAAGGAGGGGATTTATGTATATCCCATGATGCTTTCGTGCAAGTTTTTATCATGCCGACGAAAAATGGCGGATAATGCCTGTCACAAGCGGAGGTTTTAGCCGGTTTTTGACTAGCCTTTTTTACTGCTTCTGTATCAGTCTGGTAAGTGGAGTTTGCTTACATTGTTATAATAAGCTTTATAAATGATGATGTTTGTTTAAATTGAATGCTGGTCGCTTTGAAGTGTGAAAATTGAAGTAGAACAATAGAGCACGTTTCCAATAGTTGGCCTTTGTTGTCTTGTGAACGGATGGGTGCTTCGATTCAATTCAATTTTTCTATACTCTCTTTGCATATGTACGAATTGTTAAGCGTCCTTCAAATAGAACAAAGGTCAAATATTTGGAATTTGTGTATTGACCTCTATTGACCTCTCCAGTTTTGGCAGTTGAGATGCTAATATTCGGGTGTTTGTGTGATGTTCAAGTGACACTATCAACTTCAGTAATGCCTGGAGATCAGTTCTTTTCCATCATGAGAGCAATAATCGTGTTACAAATTTGAAAGTAAGTCACTTATTCATTATTTAACTTAGTCAATAAAACTAAGAATGACCTGATTTTCTATTTGTTTTGTTTCGTTTAGATTTTATTCAGGTACACTTTTGAGCTATTATTTCTCAAGTAAGCGTACTTCTGTTGTTTTCAGTGGTCTTTGCTTTGTGATGAATGAGAAGGAAGTTTCGTTAAAGCGAGGTCATCAACCGACATGCCAGGGAAACCATGGAGCAAGCGACGATCTAGTGTTTCACCAGTGTGTAGTGTTTCTCCAGTTTCTAAACCGGTTAGACGGTCTATTTCATCGTCGTTTTCAAGCAAGATGACAGCAAAGAGTAAGGTTTTTGTGTTTGTCTTCTTTACAATTAATTATCATTTTGTGTCCCTTACCTTTTGGGGAATGATGGTTTGATTTATTGTCAAAGTTGTTGAGATAGTTGGTGCAGAAAATACCTTATTATAATCATCACAATTCATTTATAATTATTATAAAAATATCATTATAATTATTGTCTTATGAATGTTCTGTTCTTACATATTATAGGTTGCACACTCTTTGTTAAAAAATGCTAAGAAATCTTCACCATTAAAATTTACTAACAGCTCCGGGAAACGAAGGCATCAATGGACAGTTGCAGAGGACACTGCCCTTGTGCAGTTTGTTGCTCTTCATCAAGAATATCTCCCTGCTGATAAATGCTGGCCATCATTTAGTGCTACTTACGAACATTTACTGGAAGGAAGCAGCCCACTACATTAACCAATCACTCAACTCTCAAGCTTAGTGAGTGCTGCCTTGATGATGTTCTCCTGTTTGCCAATCAGTGTATTGATTTTTCAATCAAATATGATATTATTCTGTTCTGAAGTAATATTTATATGGTTGCAGCTTCTGGTGTGAGGCAGCATATTCTTACAGACCTCAAGCAAAAGTTCCAGACTGTGGATGAAGCAGAGGATGCACTTGGTTTGTCAATAGAAGCATACTTAGATGACAGCATCCTGAATGATCGAACCACACCATCACCTGCTCCACTCCATTCCAGCCAGACTTTACTTGAAAAGCTGAACCATCTCACACCTGTCCAGCTAAAGGAGTTGATAGTTCAGTCACTGCAACTACTGACCAAACTATACACACCACCAACCACCCTACTGGAACAAGTGGCTAACACTCTTTTAGAAATGAATTGGATAACTACACATCTTGCCCAGTGATTTGAAACCTGGTTTAAAAATGCCAGTTTTCAAAACTGTATCTTAGTACTTAATAAGTGCTTTGATATTTCCTCCAAGAAGATTGGAATAACAACTAATGTCTTAAATTTTCCCCAGTTGTGCCTGTATGCAATGAAAAAACTTCAGGACCTTGATAAATCTAACACAGTGTACAACCTAAGCAAGGTTATTTTGGAATCAAGACCTGATGGAAGTGACTCCTTGATGCCTCTGAGGTGGATGCCATTTGGAATGATCCAGTTTATAGTGGACTTCTTTGCAAGCACAAATGTGATGCAGGTAACTATAGTGAGATTTTTTCTTAATGTTAACGAAATGAAATTTCAAGAATGCAGTGTTGATGACATAAAAACTTTGTCGAATGTGTATTAATGGTCCAATTTCAATTGCTTTTTGGGCTGTCATTAAGTTTTAAGTCACTTGTAGCCTTGTTCTCCAAACCACATTCTGGTTACTTTGTAGATGAATTCCATGAATAACAGACAATTTCACTTGTAACATCAAGGACCAATCAAGTATACGCAGCTGTTACAGGTGTTGCGGGTTGCAGGCCTTAATGACAGCCCTGGCTAGTTTAGTATTTTATCACGAGGACGACAGGGCAAGGATCAGCTGGTCAAAAAATTGCAATCGATATATTTATTTTTCGAACATACCTTTTGATACTTTTCTACCTATGGAAGTTCATCTTTATTTTGATTTTTAAACCTTTTGAATAGGGTTGTTTTAACTTAAAAATATCTTAAGTTAGGAGTTTCTTCAGTCCAGCTTATGTCTCCAGCTATTCACATCATTGGCTGTGAAGACTTGAAACAGAATGTTGCACTAATATGACAAAAGGACATGTTTTTATGTTTGCAAATATTAAGTTGTTCTATTTTATTTTGACAGTGTACATTTGTTTGTGATTTTCAAAGGATTAATTGTGTTTCCCTTTGGCTTTTGCAGATATCCGTTCCAGATGATTATAGGTTATGGTACGAAACAATGTTGGCTGAATTTCCAACAAGATTTCAGCGACTGTTTGCAGGTCCAATGTGGAGTGGAGCTGCAAAAGATGACATCCGCAACCCATTGAAGGTGAGACTAGATAAAAGATATCAATATAGGTGATGAATACATAAACAGTTAAGGTCCCATGTGATTTTTCCAATGTTGTGATCATGATGAGTTTAAATTACTCTTCATGCTTGATTACGGCTGGCAAATATAAACTCAGATTTCTAGATTATAGGAAACTCTTTGAGTTTATTTAATAACATTAATTCCGCTTATTACATTGTATGATCAAACTGTCTATCAGTAGAAAGTTTGCATAAGAAACACCTGCTAAGCAGGGAATGAAGACCATACTTTTATTATTACTGGCGGTGTAATACTCTTTTTTCTTGTTATTCTCTATTTAGGCAAAGACAAATGTGCCTTGCAGGAGGATTACCATACAGTGGAGACAAGGCAAGAAATCGCCATTTACTGAGAGCACTGCTGTACAGGTAATCTTTTTTGGTTGCCAATTCATATAAGATTGTCTAAATTTGCCAATAGGTTGACACCAATTGGTAAAGCATTGGCAAATTCTGACCATATAGCCTTCTAGGTTTGTTTGTTTTTTTTTATATGGGGTTAAATGGCTGCTAGTGAACCTAACAACGTTTTATGTTACGTGTTAAGGGATATATAATGAATGTGATGCTCATTTTCACAAGTGAATTTAAGCATATGAGCTTGGTGTAATCACTGCTTCCCTTACGTCAGACGTGCATTCCAAAAGCAGAGATGGGTGTGTTTATATTTTACATCTCCTGACTGAGCTACTGTACATGTGCATAATGGAAGAAATATGGCATGTCACTACAACAACTGTCTTTTTTATATCATTCAGGAAGCAGCTTTGGAGGTACTTAAGTAGGCAAATCCTGATGGGAGGCTTTGGTTGAAACTGGATGGAACGGATGTGAAGGCATGCCTTATGGAATCAGTGAAAGGAGTGTGGAATGGAGATGTAGATCTTGGCGATGGAAAGCTACAACAGTTGAGGTCAGAGTACGAGAATCGGCTCCAGGTGTTTAAAGTTTTGTCAAAGGCTGAAAGCAGAAATGTTTTGGAGGATACTCTATGGAGAAGGCTCGACGAATTGAATACAGACAAAAATTTTCTACTGAATGGGCTAAGTGTTGCTGTTGAGGACTACAGTAAAAAGTTCAACAACAACAGCACATCAGAAGAAGCCTTAAAGAATGCAAATTGGGAATACCAAACCCTCATTCAGCAAGCCCAGTCAATTCTTTCCACCTTGGAAACAGTTCTTGCTACTCTCAACCCTACCACTTGTACTAATCGGATCTTTCAGAGGGCCATAGTCATTCTTAAGGATCTTAAGATTGAGCTCTATCTCAAGAACCTTTTCAAAAAGAAACGAACTTCAGCATCCCATGTCCTGGTTTTCATGTTGTCTGATGAAAAGAGGGCCTGAAAGCCGTACGCTCTTCCAGTAAGGTACATACCTTACAGGACATTGAAAGACCAATTCATCAGGGATTTCAGCCGAAACATCAAGTTGAAGATGAAGGAAAAGGGATTAAAACTAGTGGGTAGGTAAACCTGTCATGCACTTATTAGCAACAAAATTACTCAAAAGGGATCCCATGACCCCTATGTCATATTTTTTTTAGGGGATGATGTACAGTGGAACCACGATTTCTCAAACCCTCAGTTTTTCAAACCTCTGGAGAACTTGATCCAAAAGTCGCTTCCCCTTGTCAGTCAGACGTTGGAATTTTACCCCCAAATTCTTGAACTATCCAATTTTTTAAAACAATTTTCGTTTTCCCTGGGAGGTTTGAAAAATCGAGATTCCACGGTAGTTTAAGTGAGAAGAATAATTACATCCTGATAAAGTTTAAACTGACACAGCTTCTAAGTTACAGTGTAATTCACTTTTCAGTGTGAAATTTTGAAATTTTGAATTTATTGCCTAAGTCTAGGTATTGTTTTATAACTCTAGAGTAATTGAGGAATGGATTTTCTTTATTACCTTATACAAGTCAATGTTTACTCCTTTTCAGGCACTGTTTCAAATGGAGGGTTTTGCTCTTTGAGAATGCAAGGGGAGACGAGGGCTCTGCATGTTTGGCAACTTAAGTGTGAAGAAGAGCAAAGCAACATTGCTGGAAATGTTGATTATGACACATTGTAAGCATTTACTGTGTATAAAAATAGGTTCTTATTTTAATGATGAACAAAGAACACCGGTTTTAATGTTCAATTTGATGAAACAATTTTTTTTTAATTCAGTAGGTGCTGAAGGTAAACTACAAACTGTAAGCAACTACCCTGCTATTCCTGGCAATGTCATTGTCCAACTGCACAACCTGAGGTATGCTCAAGGGATGACATTGGAGGATGCCATCACCTTCACCCATTCAGGAAGGACACACAAGAAACCATGCTGGGTAAACTGCGCCCCATTGTGGCTACCTTTGTCTACCAGCATGCCATCCAGGAGTTCAAACAAGAAGGTGTTGACTTCACACAGCATCTATATATCCCTGAAGTGGACCCCACTACTCCTGAGGAGCGGCATGATCGGGGTGATCATAACCACATTTACAAGAGGATGGTGCAGCATGTGCGAAATTGTGGTTACACAATGTTGAACTACGAAGCTTTTGACAATGTCTGGAAAGATCCCAGTAGTGGTCTTATCCACACAGCTTTCAGTGGCAAGCGAAAGCAGAGCCTGAAAGATGCTGAAAGGCTTCTGTTGTACCATGTGGTACATTCATTGGAAAGACACGGTCATGTCAGAGAGGCTGAATATGTGAAAGTACTTGTACAGTGGCATGAAGCGTCAGATGGGCGTGGCTTGTCTCAGCTTACCAGATGCAAGTACAATTACCAGATGCTGGCATTGATCCTTGCTGAGTGGATGCATTGGCATCCCACAAACTATGACTTCTCTACAATAGACATCAACAGGTAACTGAAAAGACAGTTAGATAATGTAGTTTAGCTGTGCAGTTGTCTTGGACAAGCAGATTTTGTGGTTAGACAAATAAAATTGTTATTAACAGAGAGCTAAACAGAAGGCCTAAATGAGAGTATGATTTTGTTTTATTTTTGTTTCATGAATAGTTAATAAGCTATCCTTAAGTGAGGGGAAGGGGGAGTGTCTTGAGCAAGCAAAATTTGAGAAATAATGGTATACCTTAAAAACAAATGAGTTGAGTTTACTTGGAGTAATGGCAACATATGTCTGGGTTTAATCAGTCTTGGAAAGTTTTTCCTTAAAATAGGAAATAGTAACATGAAAGCAGCATTATCCACTCACTGACATTAATGTGTTCATATATTTGGACCAATTTGCAGGCCTGTTAAAAACATTTGTGGCTTTTGATGTGAGACTGTAATTGAAGTCACAACCAACATCGAGAGCTAGGAACAGAGAAGGTTACAGAACAGTGTTATTGGATATCCTGAACACTCTCATGCTGGTGTTACTAATGACTTGGAAACCTTTTTTGCCATTAGTCACAGAGACATTGGAAATGTCTTCATTCTAAAGCAGTTCAAAGAGTACTGGCCAAAGGGAGTTAGGTAACTATACATTATAAATACATGTAGATATATAAACTCAAGTTAAACGAAAGCCAGCCAGTCTAGGCAGGGTTTCAGAGAGGTTTACAAGGCAAGGTGTCAATAAAGAATTCCAGGTCAATTCCCACTGCTCTCGCTAAATCATTATAAGTTTTCTGTTAATTTGTCAGGTCATGTAGCTGACCTTGTTGGGTTTTTGACCAGAGACCCCTTGCTTATCTGGAAGAGTGCAAGGGTTGCATAAATACTATTTTGAAAACAGAAACTTTTATAACTACATGTATGTATTGCTTGTTAATTAAATTTACTGTGGACTGTATAGTGCATTAATATTCAAGTTATTCTTGAAAAAAGTTTCTTCTAAATGGTGGTATTTTTGGACAAACTGAGTTGCTTGGGATGGGATAATACTCCTCTACAGACAGCCCCTGAGCATGCTGTTAGGTTACCATAATAGTCTAGTGGTACCACAATTTTTCAAGGTGGAAAGACACTGTAAGTGTCAAGTTGTGTGTTAACTCAATGACCTCCATTCAGGGCTAGAACCAGAACCCACCCGTCTGGAGTCTAACTTGATAACCATAAGGCCACCACATCACCCAAAATCGCAGGCACCCCTATCACGGCAAGAGCAATGTTGATAAATTGTGAATTACATTCACTCTACCATGTAAATTACCAGGATACCGTTTTGAAAATTAAGCTCATAGAGTTTTCTTGTTTTATTTAGGGAATTCAGCAAGAGAATGGATGGTGACCTTCCATTTTATTATTGGACCCTGAGTGAAAGGTACTCAGAAGAAGAACTCCCCTCCTTTGATGTCTGTCCTGAAATTGATGAGGACCAGGAACTGAGGAGCCACCCTCTCCGTCTGCACAGACTAGTCATTAACCAAAGAGAGGACAGTTCAATCTTTGTTGCTGGCCATGCACACCTGCCAGCAAGGCATAAGAAAACCATTCGACAATCGTTCCATAAGCCTGAAGATTGTTGTAAATGAGAGAAGACGTTTGCCTGCAGAATATTAGGCTTTAATTATCAAATCTCTTACTAACACAAAACATGGCAGCCAACTGCAACCATGAGGTAACCACAAGGATTGCAGGCTCATATAATAAAGTTAAATCACACTACATGTACGACACAATGAATTATAATGTAACGCAACACTTGCAGTGTTCAAGTGTCTAGAGGGCCTTTAAGAGGGCCTTTTACAATGTCATTTTCACCACAAAGATATTTTACCAAATCCACTGTAAAATGTCCTGTTGAAGGGTGTGGTGCAATTGAGGAGGGAAATGTCACCCTTATTTGTGAAGTTTTTACTTTCACACTGAATTACACAATTTATTGGACAATACCATTTTATAATGGGATTAATACTGCAACTCTCATTTTGTTGTTAAAACCGGTCCTAAAAATTAATTTAGCCTACTTAGTTACACATTACTCTTTCCCTTGTTTAAGCTAGATAAAGAGTGTAAAATTTAAAATGCTACACTTCAGTTTTAAAAGGAAATTTCAATTTTCAACAAAAGCAATAACAACTGCTCTCAATAAGCACACTCTTCAATTACCTTATGTATGGTTTTCCAAAATAGAATCTGTTCAAATTGAAAACTAGCAAGTTAAATTTACTCTTCAAATTATGAGAAAATATGGAAAAATAATCTTTTGCTTAGTGAAAACAATGGTATCATACTGATAAATATAACATTTCATATTTCCTGTACCTGTTTTGAAACAGTGAAAAGCAAGTAGGAGTTAGGCTATTGCACACCATTTTGCTAATGCTACAGTGTAGCTCCAGGCCCTTGTGGGGCAAAATTTGAGCCATGTATTGAATGAAAGAGGCAATTTTTGGCATAGTGATCACTTCTTGCCCACACAAGGGAATGGAACTAGCAAATATTTGCATTAGCAAAATGGCCTGTTGACATTAATTGTAAGGTATCTAAATTACTCCCCTTCCACAAGATTTCATTTGGCCTTGAAATAGTCACTAAGCACAAGGCTGAAAATTTTGATCAGGATACAACAAGGAATATTCCTCAACAATCAGGCAGTAGAACATTGTGGAGAAAAAAGCTTATCAAGAAAACAGGTTTTGTAGTGTATCTCTCCTTCCAAAAAACTTGTGCATGGTACAGTGGCAGGATATAAATCACTTCTTTTTGTATAGTGTAGAAAGTTGTCCAACAGTGGTGTTGGTTAACATTATTCACAAAAAGCCTCATGCAGTAATACATCGGGTGCCCTAGATTAACCACCAAGAGTTGTTTACACATTTAATTCATCCCAAACTTTTGTCCATACTGTTTTCATGGGTGTATTCTCATCTTGGCTGTTTTGGAAATTCATTCCTAATAAAATTTATAAATTTGCACTTTCAAATGGCGGTTTGTGTGTGAAATTAGCTAGTTTAATGTATCCATGCTATTAGTTGAGTGGCAAATTGCCAGAATATTACATGTAGTTTCAAACAAAACCCTCAGGCAGGGGTGCCTGGAAGAACAAGATGAACTTTATTTAAAGAAGTTAAACAGAAAGAAAGTTGCAACCTTAAGTTAATATTTTTTGTGCAAATCTAAACAAATCATTGGATATTTTCTTTCCTTACAAAATTTTGATGAATTAAAAAGTCTTAAATAATAGTTATTATTAGCCTGCTCGAGCAATTGTGTCCAATCCTGATTGTTGTGCACTTGTATTGTTGAATTCATCAGGTGTCTTTTGGTGGGTTATTTAACAAAAGTCTGCAATGTTGCATTATAACTGTATATACAACTTCCCCTCATATTCCAGCAACTAAATGCTGTCATTGTATTTGTAGTCTTTTTTTGTTCTGGGGCCACCTACCCATCTTTGAAACAGCAATTGATGGAAAGAACCTAAAATCATTGATGGGTGGAACATACTGATAAAAAACATTTTTAACAGTGACCAGTTGAACTTCATTAGTCCACAGTGCAGTTGTCACTTTGGACACTTTTGGACCAGGAATATATCCAATGGGCTTCCACAGCTCTTCTGACCCTGACCTAATTTCACCTGAACAACAATCGCATTCTCATCATGTCTGTTTGTTGGTTTGAAGTGTAAACGAACAGACACTGTTTCCTTCTTCATCAGTGCCTCTTTCCATTGTCTTAAGTGACTCTGAAATGATGAATGATAGTTGCTTCCTTTCAGATTCATTGTTTCAGTGAAAAGCTCAACATTTCCAGCATCAGTGTCGTCACTATCTCCAGAACTAAGTTCCTGTTCTTCACTCTCAGATACGTCTTCCTCACCATTTGACTTGCTGCCCAAGTCTAAATTTTGGGAGACTGTTTCAGTTTCATCTTGTGAAGAAACAGTGATATCCCCCAGGTGTGGAAACTTGGTGCAATTACAATTAACTTTACCAAACACGAGTCTTGGCATAATCACCAAGCCATCTGCTGGGTTTTCCTCTGGATGCACTGCATAAGCTGCGGCTGTCATGCCACTTGCATGATCAAACTCCCACACAACAGCAATTTTGGCCTCTTCGCCATCCTCTGTCTCTTCAGGGGCAACCTTGATGTGTGAAGAAAATCATAAATCAAGATGAGGAATACAGGTAACCTTTCGTGATATACGCTTCGGAACAAGAAATGTACATAATCTTTCAAAGTTATCGGTATGTAGAGCTGGAAACAGAGAGGCTGCAGTTTTGTAAAAACTGGTTGAATACGAAACGACAAGTAAACAAAATGACCAGCTTCTGCACTGTAAAGGAAATGTTCGAACGAAATGATCTATTCAAAGGCCGTGAGCACTTTTCTTTAAATGGTTTGGCCACGGTTATCAATAATTAAATAAGTTTACTTATATTAAATGCAGCACTTGACTTGACTTCTTTACAGCATGGTGATTTCACTCCAGCAAACTTTCCAAGCACAGCATCACAGTCAGGAAAGACAACTAATCGTCGTTCCGACAAGTCCATCATGAAGCAGACGTGTCTGTATAAGCACTTCAGCTTTAATATCGGAAAACTGTCAACTGATAGTTCGAATCTGTCATTTTGGTCAAGACAGTGCACCTAGATAAAACGATTCTGACAGAAAATTTTGATGTCACACAGCCTTTTCACTACAGCATCCATCTTTAAACTGAAGGATCATGTGATCTAACGATTTCAATAATATACTTCAAATGCAATGCATCATGGGATATATACAAATCCCCCCTTGTTTGGGGGTCCCCTATACTTTTTTCGTGACGCGTGAATGGGCGTTTTTTTCTTTGTGTGAAGCGTGAATGAGGATTTTTTTTCCCGTGATTCATGAATCTATATTTTTCCGTCCTTGGGAAACTGGTTTTCGATTTTTTTGTGATCCATGAAAAATGCATTTACTTTCGTGTGATTTGTGAACCATCGACTTTTGTGGGAATAATTTTTCACACTTTTGGAGATTTTAGTGTCATAAAAGCTTGTAAACTACACCAAACTGGATGTAAAAAGCGTGATGGCCTGCCTTTCTCGACATCTCTTGACGCGCGTAAGGATGAAGGACTGAGAACTAACCACAGCAACAGTGAACCAGGAGGGCCTAGAATCTAGTCTGTCACGCTGTGTCACACACGCGGGGTATCACGCCATTTCGATCG